CTGGCTAAACAGTAAAATGAGAGAGTCACTAGTCTGCAAAAAAGCTAAAAAAATAGTTAGCCAAACAGTCAAAGACCTAAGATACAAAAAAATAACAATGAGCCAAATCATATATATAAACAATACAATAATAATTCCAGAGTTAGGCTATCTTCTACAGTTAACAAAGATGTCAGAAAAGATGATTAATAAGATTTACCAACTGATAATCTGTTTGGCAAAATATAAGTGCAATATGATGAAAACTACAAACAACTGTATAATAGAACATAAAGATTTAGAAGGCTATAGATCACTAAGTCAAAAGATAGTAACAAAGCAAATAAGTAGTTTATTTATGAGACTTAATAGAAAAGATAGCCTGAGTGATCTGACAAAACTTAGAATAGCTTAAGGATGCCAAAAGGCAGGCTTAACAAAAGACATATAGAACACTAAAAGAAAACCAGAAAAATCAAAGTTTTGAAAACATAATCTAGTCTGTCAGACAATAGTCAAAGCAAAAAAGATGGATATAAACATCAAAACAGAAAACTGCATATGGAAAGTATATGGATATGGGATAAAAATAAGAGACCTAGTCGAAGCCAAAACTTGGATAGCAAGTAGTAGTACAATAAATGAATGGGATATACTATATCTGAATCAGCTTATAGATGTTAAAGATGAAAACCTAATTAGATAAAGACAGCTCAAAAGCTTACAAAGATTGTTATGCAAAAGAAAGAAAGCTAAATAGTTTAGTGAAATAGAAGAGAAAGTGTTAGTTGCACAGACATGCAGAAAAATATATGACCATTTCAAAATTAATGATTTTAACACCCAAGCATTGATGATTAACTGGATGATAGTATCAGAAGATAGAAGAAAAAAAGAGTAAATTGTACACAGACCAATGCATGATCAGCACTTTAGCAAAATACTGAAGAAGAAAGAAAAAAAAAGTCTTAATAGAACATTAGTTATTGCAAGAAATAGAAGACAAAACATTTACTGAAATAAGAAAATGCAAAGATTGTGGAAGTAAATCAGAACAAACAATAGACATATGCAAAAGGTGAATAAGACAGAGCAATAGTATTAAAGCAATTTCAGAAATACTAGTAGAAAAGAACAATAATAAGATCAATACAACAATAGAACAATTGCTAGAAAATAGATCAATAAGAGAATAGAGAGTGAAAGAAAAAAAGTTAGCTGGGTTAAAACAAATAGAAAGACTAGAAATAGAACTAATTAAAAAACAAAAATTCAAAAAGAAAATTGCAACTTATCTAATAGAAGCTCTTACAAAAAACATAATAAGAAACAAAAACAAATATACCTTTTATACAGATAGTGCATTATTTAAAGAAAGAAATAAAAATGGTTTAGGAAGGATAGGTATAGGCTGGGTACAAGTTGGAAATAAAAGAGATTGGCCAAAAGAAAAGACAGTACTGAGACTTAAAAGTTGGCTCTTAGCAACAACAGCTGAACTAGCAATAATATAGTTAGCAGCTTTAATGATACCAGAAAAGAAGGCTATTGAAGTGTATACAGACAGCCTAGTGGCATTAAGAAACATTAGTAAAGCAATTCAAGACATAAGTGATGTTAGAGTTTTGAAAAAAAAAAATACAATGTGGTTAATAAACATTGTAAATTTAGTCAAAAACAAAAACATCAAAATAGAACTGGTTAAAGTCAAAAGCTACAGTAATGACAAATAGAATAACAAAGCAGATGTACTTGCAAAAAAAGGAGCAGTATGTAATAAGACAATATCTGTAGAGAAAGTCAGATGTGAGAGAGTAGAGTACCACTTGGAATGGGAAAACAAAAAGGTTGATATACTAGCAAGACTTCTTTGCAAAATTATAATAAATGCCAGAATTGGAGCCAGTTGGAGAGAAACAAACCCAATTCGAACATTAGAATCAGAAACCAAAAATATACAACATAATTGGTCAAGTTTTTGAAAAGAAATAAATAGAACACAAGGTGTATACTGTATAACAAGAAAACTCAGTAATAAAAGAGCAATAGTGATCAAATGCATAATAGACAGTCTATCAACACTAGAAAAGTTAAACAGAAGAAGACCAGAGATTTATACAGTAACAGACTGCCAAGTTTGTCAAAAAGGTAAAAAGAAAACTTAAGTACACTTAGCAAGCTGCATCGAACAAAAAAGCTTGTGGAAGAGGATCCAGAAAGTAGCAATAGCAACAACATGAAACAACCTTAAAAAAAGTGAAAAAAGTAGAATTTCACCTCTAGTTCTATATGAAATATTATTTGGAAAAACAGAAGCAGAAGAAATTAGGAACAGAAGGTCAATAATAAAAGGACTAGTTACAACAGAGGTTAGGAAAAGGTTTGAACAGATTCTAAATAGATAGACAATACAAAAATGTATAGATATAGTAATGAGAACAGTATGGAATACATTCTATAACCAAATATAGAGAGTTCGATATGAAAAAGTGCAGGAATAGGAAAAAAAAATCAATATAACGAGCAAAGTGAAGAAAGGTACTCGAATAAGAAGAAAACCAGAGAAAAGAATAAAAAAAAGCAAGCTGCCAAAAGAAGAAGAAAAAAAAAAGAAAAAAAAAAAACTGAATTGAGTGAAGAAAGAAGCTTGAAAGACAATTAATATGCTTGTCACAAAAGGGAGAAGACCCTTCTGATATAGCTTTAAGTAGTTAAACAAGCAGTTTATTTCTAACTAAGATAGTGTAACAGGTTGCATTTAGGTACCAAATAGGTGGCTGAGTGATGCTAGACTTGAGTATTGGAAAATTCTATGTAATTATAAAAATATATAGTTTTAAGAATCTTAATAAAATATTAGCATAACTACTTAAGGTTAAAAAAAAAAAAAAAAAAAAAGTTTTAAAAATTTAATTAATAAGTTATAAAACCCAAACTCTATTATATATATCTATATATTTTATAATTGGATCTTTGTTTAAAAATTTTATTTAAAATTTTAATATATTTAAACTTATTAAAAATTTTTATATTATAATTATAATCTTTTTTTAGATTACAAAAACAAATCTTAATTTTATTTAAACTGTTTACCTTGTCTGTAAAAAGTTTAAGAATTTAACCAATAAATTACAAAACTCAAACAAACCTTAATTTTGTTTAAAATGTTTATCTTGTCTATAAAAAGTTTGAGAATTTAATCAATAAGTTACAAAACCTAAATCCCACATTATATATATTTAAAAAAACTATTTTTAATTCAAAATCTATACATATATAAAACTTTAATCAAAGATAGCAATTATAATATAATGGTTGAGTTATTATCCTCCAAGTAACAGGTCTAGTGTTCAAATCCTATCTATAATGAAATTTGAAAATTATATCTATGTTATGACAAACTGTCTCTTAAGAATCAGTTAGATTGGTGTATCTATAACTTTAAGTTGTATCATCTTGAATAGAAACTTGGAATATCTATATGAAATGTAATGTTATATGTACATAGAGAAATGTATAACCAGTATCATATAAGGCTTTGGTGCAAACCTATAATAAAACCACCAAGTACAGTAAACTAAGGAATCGAAGAGTTGAAAGTCTACTTGGAAATTTCTAATTAAAGAGATAACATGAATTTTTGATAATACAATTAGACTAATAGAAATCTATAAAATATTTTCAAAAATATAAGCAGATAAACTGGATGACAAGATGTATAGAAAAACATATAACCAACCAGGCTACCAAAATCATCAAAGAAAAAAAAATATATAAGTATATTATACTAGATCATCTAAATTGAAAATCAAGAGAATCCTATTGATCCTGAGTAATAGTTAATAGAGAATGATAAAAAAAATATCACAATAATAGGTACTAAGATTCTAATAAATTTTACAAAAGTAGAAATAGTATAACATAGTAGTTAAACATATAATCCTTGTGACTGCAAGTATTAGACAACTATAACAAATTACATAAAACTAGGTCAGCTGTATATAAGACATAAAAGGTTCTAGTAAGTTTCTTATCAAGAATAAACTAATCCTAAGATGCCTCAAAGGCATTAGGTACTTTGGATAGATGTAACCTTAAAGATGTCACTGTGAGACATAATGGACTGCATATGCAGAGGGTTTAAATAGGCAAGACCCATAGTTGACTTGCAAGTATAACACCTAATATAGAACCTGTATAGTAATGTATAGGCAGACTACTTAAATTAGGCACCAAAAGTGCATGTGTGATTAGCTGTAACCTCCAATGTAAGGAAGCTCCTGGAGGCACCCGTGTCCAAATACATGAATAAAAACATAGATCCCTATGGACAGGGACTTTAAAAAAAAAAAAAAAAACTTTAACTATTATTTAAAAAAAAAAAAACCAACTTTAACTATTAGTATACGATTGACAAACCCAAATGTGCTACAGAAACCAATTAAATTTAAATATTGAGCTCTGATCTTTTACTACTAACCCATTTAGATTAAACAGTTAGAAATAAAAGTTTATATATATATAATATAATAATTTTAGCTTCACTTTGTCTTCTAAGTTCTTGTAGTTACTGATTATTCTGATTATTTTTGCATAGTGAATATAAACGTTCTTTCGAAGTGAAAAAAAATGACTTTTACGGATATTTTTTATTAGCGAAACGTTACATTCCCGAAAAGTACTTTAAAGTGCATAAATAAGTTACACGGGCAATTGATTTACATAAGCTAATCAGATGAATGTCTTCCTATAAGGTTAGAGCGAATGGATAGTATCCATTGGCCATTGAATTAACAAATCATATTTATATTAATAATTTTATAAATTAGAATACCAGATTTAGTTCGCATAACCTTGATTTTGTGCGACATAAAAAGAGTGATCGAGATCTTTTTTTTCCTGCTCACTTAATCGTTAAGAAATGCCCAATTACAAAGTTTGTATGTTTATTTCGTAAACTACTCGGAACATTATTGTACAGGCTAGTTTGAAGTTCTTGTTGTGATATACTCTGTTTCTAGGTGATATTTCACTTGCCGCCTGGGGCCGAAAAGAAATTGAAATTGCAGAAAATGAAATGCCCGGTTTGATGACATTGCGTCTGAAATATGGTGCTATCAAGCCTTTAACCGGTGCTCGTATTGCAGGCTGTCTTCATATGACAATTCAAACTGCTGTTTTGATTGAAACACTCACTTGTCTTGGTGCTGAAGTTGCCTGGAGTTCCTGCAATATTTTTTCAACACAAGATCAAGCAGCAGCAGCTATTGCAGCAACAGGAGTACCTGTATTTGCGTGGAAGGGCGAAACTGAGGAGGAATACACTTGGTGCATTGAACAAACTTTGCATGCATTTAAAGACGGTAAACCTCTTAACATGATCCTTGATGATGGTGGTGATCTAACAGTGTTAGTTCATCAGAAATATCCTGAACTTTTGAATGGTAATTTTCATTATTATATATTGTCATAAATACATAAATAATAAATATGACGATTCTGATATTAATTCAACCATAACCAAGGTATAAAGGGCATTTCAGAAGAAACTACTACTGGTGTACATCACTTATACAAAATGCTTAAGGAAGGAACTTTAAAGGTTCCTGCCATTAATGTAAATGACTCCGTTACAAAATCGAAATTTGACAACCTCTACGGGTGTCGTGAATCTCTCATTGACGGCATCAAACGAGCAACTGATGTACAAATTGCAGGCAAAGTTGCAGTTGTTGCTGGTTACGGAGATGTCGGTAAGGGTTGTTCTGCGGCCCTTCGCGGTATGGGAGCCCGCGTTATCATAACTGAGATTGATCCTATCAATGCACTTCAAGCAGCTATGGAAGGTAGAGTCATATTATGTTTATAGGTAATATTTGTTTGTAAAATTGAGAAACTGATACGCAGTTTAACAGGTTTCGAGGTGACAAATATGGAAGAAGCATGTTCGAAAGGGAATCTTTTCGTAACAGCTACTGGTAACCGCGATATTATATTAGGTAGACATTTTGAGCAAATGAAGGATGATTCAATTGTTTGCAAGTAAGTACTTAATGAACTCTAGACTTCTATAATTTAGTATATACCTTTTGCTAACGGTGAATCATTTGAATTTTGAGTAGCATTGGGCATTTTGATATCGAAATTGACGTCGCTTGGCTCAAGCAAAATGCTATTACTCATGTGAATATTAAGCCTCAAGTTGATCGTTATACATTGAAAAGTGGACGACGTATAATCCTTCTTGCTGAAGGAAGATTGGTTAATCTTGGTTGTGCTACCGGGCATCCAAGTTTTGTAATGAGTAATTCATTCACAAATCAAGCACTTGCCCAAATCGCTCTCTGGACAGATAATTCATCTTATCCACTTGGTGTGCACATGTTACCAAAGAAACTTGATGAAGAAGTTGCAGCAGCTCATCTAGAAAAGCTGGGCGTAAAACTTACCAAACTTACTCCAATTCAATCCGAGTACTTGGGCATTAATCAAGATGGTCCATTTAAGTCGGAACATTATCGGTATTAGAGTTTAGAACCAGGTCACCGTGTCAAAACGGTTCAACCGGGTCAAAATTTTACAACTCGGTTCAAACCGGTTGAATATGTAACCTCTAAAAATCTGGTGCTATTACACAAAAAACATAAAATTTAACACATTATTATTGTATTGTGAAAATAGACACTTTTTCTTAACTAATTTATCTAAATGTTCAATCCCACTAATCTGGATTTGAAAAAAATGTTACAACCTTTCGGAGGCTACCATACGATCTTCTATCGCGAAAATTTTGCTAAAAATTTTCTTTATATAAGCCTTCATTATTATTTTCTTTGCTATGCTAATATATGTAATACATCGTGTGTGTTCGACACGTTCGATAGTACCCCAGTAATTCGTTATGTAGCGTGATTGTGTTGCATGAATCGGTGTTCGAGACAGCATAAAAGTCTAATATATACGTACGTTGTTACAAAAATGTAAACTTTAAATTATCACGTCATTATGCAATGATCTTATTTACTTTTAATTACATATTTGTAGTTAAAAGTTATGACTACATTTTCTAACTTATTTGAATCTAATAGGAAAGCTAAATATGAATGTTTCGGGATTATAAATCTGTTTATTTTAAAAATATTTTCTTGATTGTATTTGATTTTAAAAAAAAGATCAAAATCATGTTTATTTATAAAAATAATAAGTAAAAATATTTTTAAAATGAGCAAATTTTATATATCATAGTTTCTTGAACACTTTGAATAGATTTTTTTTTTGAAGAATTTCAATTGTTTTTTTTATATATTTTATTGTACTTTTTGTTATTTGTGTATTATTAAAAGAAATTTTAAAAATTTAATATAACTTATATTTAAATTTTTAGATTTTTTTTAATAATATTTATTTATAAATAAAAATTTTTTTTTTAAAGAGGTGTAATGATTTAGTGAAGTGAACAGGTTGTCAACTTCCAAATAGCAGATCTAAAGTTCAAATTTCACAAATGATGAATTTTGGAATTTATATTTGTGTTATGATAACTGTTTTTGTTGATTGGTTGGATTGACATATCTGTAATTTTTAGTTGTATCATCTTGAATGAGAGCTTAAGGCATTTATACAAAGTGTAATATTATACTTATATATTACTATGCAAGTATCTTAGTATAATCTTGATATATAAACTTACAAAATTTTAACTATAATTATTATATAAAAAATAAATTATAATAAAAAGAAAATTACCTATTTAAATAAAAAAAAACTCTTTCTGATAATTCTTTGCACTAATTTTTCTATATATACTAATTTATGAAAATTATATAGTTAGTAGATTTATATATAATAAATCTTTATTATACAACATTCAGATTTAAAAGTTTTAGATTATATGTAGGTGATATAAAAAAGAATTAAAAAAAACAATTTCTTGTAAATTTGATTCTTTAGTAAAAGTTTATAAAATTATTGAAAAAATAACTTTAGTTATAATTAAAAAAGTTTTGTCAAGTTATATTTGAACAATAATAAAGATAGAAGCTAATTGAATATAATATTCTATATAATATAAACTCTTATATTCATTATAGTTGGTGTTTTAAAAAATTACCTTACTTTTTTTTAAGAAATTTTTATCAAAAAGTAAGCAATTTAGTTTGAAATTAATATTGTTGATTCTTCTAAATTGAAATTATTTATCAATTTTATTCAGAAAGAATTGTATTGTAAATAAAGTATAAATATATATACTTTGAAAAAAACATAACAATAATATGAGATTGAAGATTTTCAATAAATGATAAGATAATTAGTCAAAAATGTAATAAGTATTAAAATGTAAGGTCTAATAAAAAGTATAATGAGTCATATATAAAGATAAATCCAGTAATAAGAAGTCAAAGTATCTAATATATAAAAAATTCTCTGTCGGTTTAATTTTGGTTAAATTGTTTCTCTTAAAACATAAATTTTAGTATTAAATATATTAATTAGATAGAGTTAAAGTAAAGATTACTATATTTAGTAACATATAATTTTTAATAGGCCAATACAACTTTTATAATTAGTAACTGTTTGTCTAATTTTCATTAACAACTTTCTTTTCTTTTATTTTTTAATATATATATATTTTTTTTTATATTTCTCTTCTATATATAATTTTTTTTTAATGTATTTTTCTCTTAATAAGAAGTTTTTTTTATTTTTTTTACTTTCTTATAAATGAATGATATCAGATTAATACTATTCAAATATAGAATAGCAGACAGACAAACTTGATTCAGACTTTAGTAGGTCTAATATAGCAGATCACTTATAAATACCAATTAGATAACTATGTAATAATAACATAAAAAGTTAAATATAATTATATTTGTATTTTATTTATACTAAATATTTATAAATAAACTTTTAATTGGTTGATCATTATGACTATTAAAGTTAAAAAAAAAAATTATCTATTTAAATTAGTTTATTATATAAAAAATTAGTAATTTTATATACTAAAATTAATAATATATATATATAAAAGTTAGTAATTGAAGATAGCAATCCTAGTATAGTAGTTGAGTTGTTATCTGTTAAGTGGCAGATCTAAGGTTCAAATCTCACCTACAACAAAATTTGGAAATTAATTTGTATTACAAAAACTGTCTTTTGTTGATCAGTTAGTCTTATATGTTTATAATTCAAGTACATTTTTCTTTTTTTTTTTTTTTTTAAAACACGAAATGGCGTACTTTATTTAATAAATTACAAATACATTATTATTAGACTAATTATTGCTATTTATTTATAGTTAGA